ATCTAATAATTATTTGCTAAATTAGCAATTACAAAGCAAAACACTGCTCTAGGCCTGACAGTTATTACAAAATATTTAACGCCGTGGACATGCAGCTGCGTTGATAGTATTCGAGGGCAATGAACAAGAAAACTAATACATAAGTCTTATATAAACTTAATACAAAGTTCTTAATTCATGCTTGGAATTATAATTACTATTATTCTAAGAATAAAGTTTATCACTAACTAAATGGTATATTTTTGATACATTTCCTAATCAAATCTGGTACATGAAACAACGAGATGTAGATGAGACCAAGCAAATGGTGCACTTTTTGGATAGATGAGACCAACCAAGAATATTTTTTGGATACATTTCTGAATCAAATCTGGTACATGAAACAACGGTAGATCTCAATTGGTAAATGAGACCAACCATGTGGTTCATTTTTTGAAGTTTTTATTTTGAAGATATCATTTATTGAAGAAAGAAAAGTTCAAGAAAAATGTGTTGTTAGTTATCTATTTTCAAGCATCTATATGATATTTGAAGATTTTTTAAAATTTAATATTCAAGTTAAACTCGTAGTGTGAGAATGGTTCTCTCAATTGAGAGAAATATGAATAATGATATGAATATAAAGTGTGTGTTTTCAACTGCGTATTTGACTCTTTAATTAAGGAATTTTATAAGATTGTTTATCAGATTGTTGTCTCAATATTCTGTAGACGTCTCCTACGCAGTGTGGAAGAAACATTGAGGAAACATGGAAATAATATTGGATAAAATTTGATTTGAATAAGAAATCAGGTTTTTATATAATAATTGAATTTGCTTTTAAAATTAAACTCTTAAGTTTAAATACAATCTTAATTTAGGAATACGTTTCATAGTAACTTGCTTGAACTTCACATTTTTTAAACCCTTTATATATATAAAATTATATTTAATATGATAAAAATAAATAAGACTTCATATATAATTTCCAATTCGGCCCTCGTTTATCTTATCAAAGTAAATCTGTGATTAATCTTTACATACGTTAGAACAATGTAACAGTTATAATCATTTTGATTAGTAATTATCTTGAATTATAACAGATTAATCGTAAATTATACAGACATTTGCGAAATTACGATTAATTTACTCATAAATAGGTACTTCATGTTGAGTGAAAGATAGAGATTATTGAGAAAAGTCTGAATTATTAAGAAAAATGCTTAAATGGTGAACTTGAAAATATTTTTTTCAAGTCAATTTAAAGTCTACACGTTTTTTATATGTATATTATAACAAAAAAAACCTAATGAAATTATGCATAAATGGTGTTTCAGATGTGAGCTTATTTTTATTAAAACAGTGAGCTTACTTTTATTAAAACTAGAATTAACAATAATTAATGGGATGAGGATATAGTGTATTACTAACCCAAGCAATTAAAACATTAAAATTGATGAACTTATATAAAAATATTTCACAAATTCAACAATAAAATATTTTTTTACAAGGGAATATATGTGCAAAGTTAATTTTAAAATCATGTTTTTAAAAGCACGATTATTCGATACATATATTTCTGAAAGCGTTTTTATTAAATTTTTACCAATATATACATACATAGGAATGTAAGCGATACTAATTTTATGAACTAAGTTCCTAAGACGATCAATATAGAGTAAAACCTAGTTAAGACGACTTTGCTTAATGATTTCTCGCATAATGTATCACTTCTGTTTATTGCTCCGATACCTGGAAAAAGGTTTTAACAAGGTTTGAAATTAGAAGAAATCACTCTTCTTGAAAAATTGTATGCATACGTATATACTTTTCCATAAAGTATCGACATTTAGTTTTCAATTTGCAAAGTACATATAACACAATCTTACAAAATGAATCATGCATCCAGCGACTTCATATCTTTTGACTATTTTATCTTACGTCAAATAAGTTGTAAGGAAAGTGAGTAATTGATTTATAAATTAGTCATTCACCAATTAGTATATATTTTTTCTCTTATATTAGATTACTATACAATTAATTGCAGATTTTTTAGAAATCTCATGTATTCCTGTTCACGAGACATATTTTTCATGTACCGTTTTGCAATGTATTGTCCACTTTGATATATAACTTTTTGCCATCTTTCGAGCAGCATCATCATCTCACTTTTATGAAACATTTTGGTTTTATTAGTAAAAAACTTAATCAGGTACAATGGGTTTTGTAAGGATCAAAGCAAAAAGTAATCAGAAGGTGCAAAGTTAGAAGTCAGGACTTCTATCTATTCTATCTATTGTATGGCTTAATATCGCAACCACGTTCCAATAATTGTTGCCAAATGACCAAAGATATATGATGCCAATAATGGAATAAAACACCATTTTGATTAGGCAGTTCAGGCGGCTTTTTTTTAATTTCATTATTTACTATCGTCAGTTGTTCAATGTAGACATGAGAATTGATTATTCAGTTGATATAACAGTTGAAAGTAGACATTTTTTTTAAATCAACTTTAACTGAAGCGTTTTTTTTATCTCTGAGTACAAATTCAGCAGAACGAAATTTTTTAACCAATTTTAAGGCTTCGTCACCATAAACAGCTCATAACTTTTCGTGAACTTATGATACCACTTTACCTTGGCAGAACTAAAAATTAAAAATATGACAACAATTTTTATTGTATTTTTCATATTTCAATGAACACCAAACAAAAACAATGCTATGGATAAAAACCCCTTTCTGCTTATGGACATATAAACTGCCTATTATCCAGTAACAAATGATATTTTACATTTTGTCTACAAATTAAATCTGAAAATTCAATTGAAACCATCTAATAGTGAAAGCCAACTTAATTCATCTGCATTGTTTAATTTCATTCCTTATTCATAGTTGACGATCAACTTCAACTGGACGACCAGAGCATTTTCTGGAAGATCTTTGAGTGAAAGATTATCAGAAAGAACTTTAAGAAACCAATTTTGACACTACTATTTTATTAGGGCTTTATCACCATAAGCAGCCTAAAACTTTTTGTGAACTTAGGATGTCTCTTTATCTTATCAGAACTAAAAAAGCACAGAACATATTGTTTTATTGTATTTTACATCTTTTAATGAACTTTAAACAAAAACAATGCAATAAACACAAAAAACTATTTTACTGATGGACATCTAAATTGCCTACTATCCATTAACAATTGGAATTTGGTTAGTGAACATTGTATTAGTTTAGGATGCCTCTTTACCTTTGCAGAACTGTATAAGCAAAATATGACTCAAAAATTTGATTTGATTTTTCATATTTCAATGAACACCAAACAAATACTTCGCAATGGACTAAACAACTCTAGTTACTGGTAGACATCTTATCTGCCATATATGGATACTATGCATCAAACTTAAAAATTCAATTAAAACCATCTAAGAGTGGAAGCAGAACTTGGTTGCCAACCTGCTATATCTAATACGATTACAACTTCTGGTGGAATGGTTAACCATTAGGTTACGTCCTTGTGTCTGGTAAAAGACAAGGTTTAGTCTTTTAGGAAAAGTTTGTAAGACAAGTAGTTCTAGATAGTTCTGATGGGTGCCGAAAGATATAGCAAACATGGTGTAATGTTTTATTTCCTCGACCTGTTCAGGAGTAATGTACCTTTTTCAATTCAATCCGCGATGACTCCTGCACTAGCATTTTTGATAGAATATTTAGTCGCCAACCCAATATATCAATAGAATGGTTAAACATTGGGATGCGTCTCATGACAAGGATTAATCTTCAACTAAGCAGCTTATTAGGCAAGACAAGTAGTTTTGAGTACTTGAGATTGGTGCAGAAAGATACAAAAAACCTCATGTAATATTTTATTTCCTCGACCTGTTCAGGAGTAATGTACCTTTTTCAATTCAATCCGCGATGACTCCTGCGCTAGCATTTTTGATAGAATATTTAATCGCCAACCCAATATATCAATAGAATGGTTAAACATTGGATTGCGCTTCATGACAAGGTTTAGACTTCAACCAAGCAGCTTATTAGGCAAAACAAGTAGTTCTGAGTACTTGAGATTGGTGCCGAGAAATACAAAAAACCTCGTGTAATATTTTATTTCCTCGACCTGTTCAGGAGTAATGTACCTTTTTCAATTCAATCCGCGATGACTCCTGCACTAGCATTTCCGATAGAATATTTGTTCTCGGAACATATAGTGGGGTATGACCGCGCTGTCACTCACACTTTAATAGAGCGGAACACCGAATGATTCCAATCATGGTGCGAAATATCTCCCGCGATACACGATTTAAAGAAATACTGAATTTGACACAGGCCAAAATAGTAGTAATATAATAATAATAATAAAATAAATACTTAATCTGGTGTTTCATTCCTACCAATTTATCTAAATACGTGTCTGTTACGATTACGCGCTCTTTTGCAACTTGATTAGAATTTTTGATGTGAGAACATTCTTAGACCTCGATACTTATTATTCTTGGTACTAACAATACGTTGAAACAAAAGGTTGCAGAATTATATGTTTATAAATTTAATTGTGTACACATTTATATATACTCAGAAATAAGTACTTGTATATTTTTCAAGTATATATGCAATGGTATCCGCATTTGCTGATCAGTACTACTTTAATACTTGTGCAAGTAGCATGTGAGAGCATGACTCTTATGTTGTAAAAATATCCAAAATATATATATATATATATATATATATATATATATATTATGTTAGTGCATCTTTTATTATTTTTTATATTTTTTATGTTGTAGTGTGCAAATATTTGTGTAAGGCCAGCTAAAACATTTGGTGTTTGACTACTTTTTTGTGATTAAAAAAACATTGGTATCTTGGGAGATATAAACTAAAAGTGTGAAAGATGTGATCAACATTATTTTGGATTTATTATTATTATCGTAAATTAATTAATAAGTGATGGATTTGGATTATTATATTATTAATAAATAATTTCCAGATGAAGTGACTTAGTAGTGTTTTTTTTTTAATACTTTAATGTGGTATTAGGACAATTTGGAATAGATTCAGAATGTTGTAAGTACTTTTTATCATTCAATTTTACTAGACGAAATCAATTTATCACAAAACTAAATATTTGCGAAATTGAATGTATAGTACGAAAATTATTCTGCTTATCATTAATATTTTAAAATTAACGTCAAAAATCTATGTTCAATTTGTTTCTTATATTCATGTAATAGCATACTACTTATACTTCAATTTATCATTATTTATATACTTCTAATTTATTTATTTTATTATGAGTGAAATGACAATTTTACTCGTGTTACCATATTAACTGAAAATTTTAATTTTAAACCTAATTTTTTAATTTTGCGCGCCTCATGGAATAAATAGTGCAATACTATAGGGAAGTCAAATATGATTAACAAATGTTCTTGAATCAAAATATGAAAATAAGTTCATTCCAGTCATAAAATCTAATTTGCTAATTTTGCGACGTTTCAAGTTATTCTTGACACCAAAATTGGAAAAAGTATACATGTGTAAGCCAAAATTTGACTTCTGGTCCATGTTTTCTCAAAAATGGCTGCACCTTTTTAAAAAATTCAAAATCTATTTGATGAAACTCGATTAAGACCTGTATTGATTAGTTTTTCGCGACGGTCGGTACAGTCGTTTCTTTATAATCAGTACATAAGTGCAAAAAAAAACAAGTTTTTTTCAATAAACCTGAACCTATTTATAAAATTCCTTCAACTTTTGAAAAAAACTAATCAGCACTGATATTATTCATTCATTCATTTAACTTTTGGAATAATATCAGTGATGATTAGTTTTTGGTAAAGATTTGCCTGATAATTTTTCGTAAATAACATTTTAAAAAATGACAATTTTAATGAAATTTTGTATAGCAATAAGGTTAATAGACCTTTAGGGATATTCTAAAATATTTTAGGCCAACAGGAATTGGTTCTATTATAAATAATAATTAAAATTTGGAATAAGGAGCTGCGCCCTATGGACAACACATAAAATATATTTATTGAGGTACAGGGCTTAAAGGTCTGCGGGTAAAAAGGTCCACCACCAATATTTCAAAAAACGAGTAAAGTTAGGATTGTTTAACAACAATATTTGAAAGCAGAAGTCAAAAGATGTATAAGCCATCACTTTGATTCATACGTTGGTATGGGGAGAAAAACGGCCACGTTGTTAATTTTGAAACTAAAGTATTTTTTTTCGTTGTTAATTTTTTGTTTTTGAGCACTGTTATTTAGATTACAATACATGAATATAGTTTTTAAATATATTTCATGTAATTGCTTTATAAGATGTCTACTTATTTTGAAGTTAGATTCCAGAATTGGAGTCAAGAATTTTATTTGTGTAGTTTCTAGAATATCTTACATGTTGTTGGGGTAAAAATGAACTTCTAAACCATTATACTGGCAAAGTGTAAACAATATGAAAAAAGTAAATAAAAATGTGAAATAAGTTCAAAAAAAATCTGCAGAAGCTAAATTAAATTAATAGTTGTTCCAATTTTGATAATGAGTTCTCATGATAAAGTTCCATATAAAAAGGTTGATAAGATTCTATATGAAGTTTAAAAAATATGCATTTTAAAGAAAAGTTGTATTCATATAATTTTTATTCATTGTATTTCAATAAACAATAAATCTAATTATAATAAATTAGACAGAAATACTTACGAAAACAAAATTCATGATAGTAGTAAGATTTGATACACTTGTTTATTAAGTATTAAAATACATATTTAGATTATGATTTTTAATTTTATTGTTTAACTTAATAATCGGAAATAGCGATCTAATGTAATTTTATCTCATAAAATCTTTTTTAAATTAAAAACAAAATGGTTTAGTTTTTTGTCCCCTGGCTAAACCCACATATGGGGTAGAAAAGATTAGGTGACAATTTTTTGAAAAATAACAAGACTCTATAATGATGTTTTATAATGATGAAGTAGCTGGAACATTGTCTGTAACATTGTTAGATAGTTGTTTGTTTGACATGTATTATTTATTTTGATGTAGTTGGTTTGGTTTTCACAGAATAATTGCTCAGATTTGACTTTTGTTAAGCATCACCCCGTTACCCTAATAAAAAATTCTTGAAACATGAATAATTAAAAATTGAACTCTATATCACAAAAATATTCAAACATTCAAATTGTAAAATAGAAAAAATTAAAAAATATGTTGGTATCAATTTTATCATTATTTTGAATGTTCATGCGGTTTTGACAAATTATACAGACAGATAGGACAAAATTGTAAAATATTAAACTAAAATCGTAAATTTTCTTTTCCCATTGATACCTGTCTGAAAATCCAGTGGCCATTTCTGATGAGTAATTGTAAGTTGAGTTCCCCCCATCCCAAATCTGACTTTCAGGGCCATGAAACCGGTCCTTATTTAATATTTGAAATGTCATCAAAATGATATATGATGTTCAGTGTAGTGTAATGTCTTGTAATTTCGATGCTTTATTACTAATATCCTTAATTTAAAGAATAAGTTCGTATCAAGAACACAACGCGTCAAGACAATGTAACAAGCGGAAGGATTTTCAATCTGTTGTTCTTGTTATGAAACAAGATTACATTGATTTTCTCAACTGCTACTTAGCATTAAATTGTTTATCTGATTTATAGTAGTATATTTGTGTAGAGTTTCTTACACAGAGTACATAGAAAATACTTAGTTTCATAATAAAATTATCATCCATAATAAAATTAAGGTAGCAAGATCAAAGTTTAGTATAAGTATATAGTAATTGTACAGATATTACCCGAAGCGCACAAACAGTACATAGTTGATAGATGGTTTGCATGAAGATCAATATTTGCAAAAAAAATAGAGATATTGCATATTAAAATCTAAAGATACAACAGTTTTTGATAGCGAACTATAGGTACCATACAAATCTATAGCAAAGCTGTAAAATTTTCTACCATCTCAATGTTTTTTTCAAGACTATTAAGAATCATTCATATGGGGCGTTGATAGACGGTTTGCATGAAGGCAATATTTGCAAAAAATAGAGATATTGCATATTAAAATGTGAAGATACAACAGTTTTTGATAGCGAACTGTAGGTACCATACAAATCTATGGCAAAACTGTAAAATTTTCCACTTTCTCAATTTTTTAAGACTTTAAGAAACATTTATTTGGGGCGTGCTTTGCATTGGGTAAACTATTCATATATTTGTTGTTAGCTTATTTTACTTATGCACCACATTTACAAACAGTTAGTTATTTTCGGATATATACAGAATATTTTTCATACAAAAACGTTTTCCGGGTCAGCTAGTATATATATATATATATATATATATATATATATATATATTTCAATATATTTCAGTTTTTTGTATAAATTTAATAATTTCTATTTAATTCTGAATTATACAATATATACTAGATGGCCCGGCAAACGTGTTTTTGCTTCGTAAGATTTCTAGAGAATCAAAAAAAATAATACTGAATTTAAATCATTGATCAATTCAAGGGAGCGTCCATTAATCACGTGTGGTTTTTAGGGGGAGGGAGGGTTTGACAAAAAATCACGAAATATCACGTGGGGGAGGAAGGGGTATAGTAAGATATCACGTGAATTTATTTTTTAACTAATTTTTTTAAAAAAGTTCAAACGATTTAAAAAAAAATAAAAAATGTACAGTTTCACCTACCTAAAAGTACACATGATGTTTGGCGGGGGAGGGGGGATTAATTTTGAATATCACTATGTATCACCAAGGGTAAGGGGGGTCCAAAAATCCTTAAAAACTCGCTCACGTGATTAATGGACGCCCCCCAAGTTATGGTCACTCAGTGATCGAAGCTCTCAATTGTTAAATACTTTCTATCTCATTATACATATAATGAAATAAACTAAAAACAAAGATGACCTTACAATTAGGTCTTTACTACTACTTTCTCTATCATCTAACTGATTAAGTCACTTAATATTTTGCCCAACGTTATTGGACCTTACCCAATAAATTTTATAACTGTATAAAGCTGATATAATTAAATATAAACATGATTTTAATTGTAAAATTACGAATATACGATAAAAATATAATTATTACGTTTGTTCTAACTAGTGTATTCAGTCTACTTTAAAAAATGTTTGCAATTTTTTGGTAGCCAGATATAGATATAGGGAAGAAAAATAAGTCTATTGAATACTTTACTCAATTATTTTTTCTTTCGGATACAAAAATACTCTATTTGTGCTTGAAACCTTAGAATATTTTTTTGTTGAAAATAACTGTGTAATTAAATACTATATGTTATAATTTTTTATTTTTATTTTAAATTTATGTTAAATTTTTTAAATTGAAATTTATCTTATATTATTTACATTTTTATTACATTATTTCATATCCAGCAATTATTAGCCTAAATTAGCCTTAGTAAAAAAATATTTGCATAATATTTTTTTTACTATTTTTTATATTAAATTAAATTTTAAAATTTGAAGTAGTAAAAAATAAAATACATTTTTATTCATCACAACTTCTTTATAGCCAATAAATTTTATTCTAAAATATAATTTATTGCCAATTGAATTGTTGAAAAATGAATTATTCAAGCGACTATAAACTAATAGTACAATTTATTCAAAAATGAAACACAATTATTCTATATCTTGCCATTAATTTTTTAATTTAAAAAATACATTTAAATAAAATATATTTTTAATTCAATACTCTTTTTATTTCAAAAAAACACAACTATACTCGTACACGTAAAGAAACTTATGATATATAGGGGTTATCGTATGAAAAATGCAAATGTTATATAGATTTAATTTAAAAATATTCTTCCTTCTAAAGGAATATTTATTTTGATATTAAATATCTAAAATCTAAAAATATATACCCGTACATTCAAATCACTCAAAGCGAATGGGATGAAGTCGTTATAATCTAAAATATGAATATAATAGAGTTATAAACATTAATGTTTTCAGTCACGTTTATAGTGACGAAGCCTTAAAAAGGCAATGCTATAATTGGTTTGCTCAATTTTGT